TGCCTTTACTACCAGGTTACCTCGAATCAAGAAAGTTAAATGATGGGAATGATGGGATGGAGCAGGGCAATCGATCGTATGTATTGGTTTGGGCAACAAAGGTGAATGGGAGGAATGGGCTATTAGCCGGCAGGTTTACAAATAACTTACCAATTTGATTCTTCTGATATTGGATGATGTTTCTGTGTTTGAGCGTTTTTCAGTCAAATCTCATCGGATCAAGAAAGTTGAATGATGGGCATGCTAGGCTGGAGCAGGACAATCGTTCGTATGCATTGGATTGGAAAACAATGGAGAATGGGAGGACTAAGGATATTAGCTGGCATTTTGAACTATTCCTAAATAGTGTACAAGAATCATGCATCGCCTGTGCTGAATGACTCAAGTTACACAAACACGCCCTCTGCATCTTTTGCTCTATTATAGTCATACTACTTTACATTAAACAAAGACCACTTCTCATATAGCATCACACTTACAAACAAAAGGTGCCTGTATCTCCAAACTTTACAATCAAACGTGGGCTCTTTAGTAGATCAACGTGCTTGTCGGGGTCAAAGGAATCTTGTGTCAAAGTATGAAGTTCATCGTGGGCGATCCCAGATTTCGCAATGTCGCCACCAGCCAAACTGGATCTGGGGCTCAACCTCTTTCGACGACGACAAAAAAATATTTTTTGGGCTGTTTGCGACATTGAACGCGAAACTTTCACACAAGGTGCTGTTGGCCAAGCCGAGCACATTGCTCTAATAAAAACCACACGTTTCATTGTAAAGTTTGGAGATACAGGCGTCTTTATGTTTTACCTATGCTGTAAGCGTGATGGAGTTGCTTTTTCCTAGTGGATGGTGTCGGCTGCATTAACGGAAAGATGAAGAGCTGAGTGAAACCGCACGTGGTGGTTACACAAACGCGTCCTTGACAGGTTGCTACACAAATGGATGATGATGATGATTGCCTTTTGTGAAGGTACGTAAGTAAAACAGCATCCAACCATGAAGGTGTGTCAAGGTATGTATCACATTTGCATGTAGGAGAAGGTCGAGCTGCATAAACCAATTTGTATATGTAAAAAGATACGTATACATATTGAATGGGTCACTCATCCTGAAACTCAATGGAGGGATCTCTTCACTTTTTCTCTTCTCAAGCTCATCCCACTTCCCACTCCTCCTTATTGTGTCACAAAAGCCATGTACTTCTTAACCGGACCACCTTTATTATTCCATCTTGGAAGCAATAGTATGTAATCCACAAGCTAGTAACCCTCCAAGAACAAGCGTGTAATAAATAAACAATGCTTTATTTCATCTAGCTATCTTGCTATGTACTGTACATTGCCACCACCATCGTCGTAGTCGTCCTCCGTCATCATTCCTACTCGTACTCGTCACCAGTCCTCAATCTCATCCGTCACACCAAACATCCAAAAATACACAAGTTGAAAAGAATGGGATCTTGCAGACTTCCTTTTGAATCTCGCTGTCGTCATCATTGTCATTGTTGTAGATGGGGTGATCATCGTAATCGTCATTGTTGCGAATGAGGTGGTCATCGTAATCGTCATCTCTACAAATAAGAAAGCAGGCAAGTTAGACCATCTGGTACCGGAATGATGACGATTTGGTATACCGTTAGGCGATCCTCTCAAAAGAAGAAAGCAAATCAGAAGGAATTCACAAACCAAATCACCACCATACGAGCAACGTTGGGCGACCCCTTGTTCTTGAGAAGGCACTGCACGAATCACGCAAGGCCAGTTCGATCCATGGCAAGGAAGGACATCACTTACGTAGAGTCCAGGCTCATAGTTGTCCTCATTCATCCCTTCCCAAAGAAAGAATGATCCCCAATCCTTCCAATCATTACCCACCTCATGAAAAGAAATCCTCAAGGAAAAAAACGAGCCTATCACGAGAAGAGCGAGTTGGTTCAACACATTCACGGACGAGCCATTGCAAATCCCCTTTTACCTCAACACGGTGACCATGCTCTTCCAAAAATCCATGGTCATCGACCCATCCTCAACTCAACGCAGGCCTATAGAGCCCTGGACGCGTTCCAAGAAGCTTTTCCAGCACACTTGGCTAGTGCAGAGCGACGCAGCGGCCACTTGATACAG